GGTTTCGCAATCAAGTTCAATTTTGGTTTAAAGCACTACATATTGAATATTATCTCTAGTCACCACCACCACTAAACCGAAATGACTGACCATTAAATAAGCTTTCTTTGTTGCAATACTTGGCTATTGGTAATTGATTTTGAGTTGGAGACTCATTTAGCCTTCATTTGCAATTTTCTCAAATTCTTTCTTAAAGGTTTGAGTTTATGTGGTTGTGGTATATAATCACGAGTTTATTAATTGATACATTCACACAATAACTAAGAGATTTTCATGGGTAAATTCTTTCTTAAAAGTTTGAGTTTATACGGTTGTGGTATATAATCACGTGTTTATTAATTGATACAATGACACAATAACTGAGAGATTTTCATGGGTCTGTTATACAGTGTATTAACATTTTTTTTCTTGAATGTTGTTGATTTCTTATTCGATTGTTTTTAGTTTCATGCTGTATTCGTAGCGAGGAAATGATAATACTCGTGCAATTTCATGTTCGTTTGGGTAAGAGAAGAAAAACGGGCACAAAACACATAAGCATATATACACACACAGAGCTAAGGTGTCAGAAGCGCTAAAGTTTAAAAAAGATGTAAGAATATATTTTTTGTAAAGCTAATATGACAAATAGGGTGGGGATGGGGTAAACTTCGCTATGATGATTGAGCAATTTGTGTGTTGTGTCATAAGTTGCTCAAGAATCAATTAAAATTTGTCAATTAGATGATTCATTGGTCCATTTATAATAATATATGCCAATTCATTATTTGTAATTTTTTGTATCACTTCGGAAAAATCTATAGGACCAAAATTGTTGAAATTCGCCTTTCTTTCTTCAGGGCATTCCCATTTTTCTCATGGACTGCGGAATTCAAGATGTCTGCGTGCTGTAAAAACTCTTATCAAAGGCAATAATAGTTCATCAACGATTTTCTCTTGTTTTAGGCCTGCTTTCGGGAAAATCCAACTAATTTGCTTTTCTGTTGAATGAACATACCTTAGTTGGCAATGCGTGAGCGAAATATGGTTAATGGAAATCTTGTATAGTCAGGATCATAACATACTAGTCCGGATTCACCTGGATAGAGAATGCGAGCTTTGCTGTGATATCTTTAGTCATACTCCAGACCGACAGGTTGGCTCAAATAACTTTTGAGCGAAATCACGAAATCAAATGATTAATGCAACTTGATTAGTAGCAGGCTCGGCGTTATTGACTAATTCCTTTCCTATCCCACTTCCAATGTGGTATGAGCGTCGAAGCAAATTACAGAGTTGCCACGGGTGAATGAATGAGGGTGGCCGGCTGGGGTAGGAGAGAAGCGGAAGGGGAATGGAGGAGATAAAAATGGGTTACAATAAGTGAAACTCTAACTCAGTATTATTTTGCTAACTAAATTCTTGATCATCTAATTGGTTAGTTTTAATTGACTATTGAACAACTTATGGGTCAATCTACAAGTTGCTTAGTGATCATGGTAAAATTTGATGGTGGGGGAAGGGTGGGAAGTAAGTACTCAAAAATAACATTATAAGCTAATGTGATTGAGGTGCTAAAGGTCATGATAGTTGGAGGTAGGAGGGTGTAAAAAAAATTACTACTCTCTCCGTCCCACTTTGTTAGTCTTGTTTTCCTTTTTCGTCCGTTCCAAATTGTAGTCCACTTTCTCATTAAGAAATGTAGTAATCTTTCAAATTGTCTAAAATGCCCTTATTAAATATCTTGTTATTAATACATTGTTATTAAATACTAACCCACTACATTGAATACATTGAGCTTTTCTAATACTAACCCATTAGCTGTAACTGATATTAATTGGCACTCTTCGTGATTAGCATAAGGGTATTTTAGAAAATTATTAATCTAAATTTATGTTTCCAACCAAATTAATTACACTTTCTTAATCTGTGTGAAAAAAAAACTAAAACTAACAAAACGGGACGGAGGGAGTATAAAAAAGCTTATGATTAAAAAATATGACTTACAGTACAGTTCGTGACTTGATCATTTTGGAGAAGTGCCTGGGAAAATGAAGGTGTGGTGCATTGGGAACAGTCATTGCGTTGGTAATCGGACCGGCATCCTAAGGTTCAACGAGTTAGAATTGGGAATATTAAACCCTTGGAACTTAAAAAGCCTATTAAACTCTACCAAAGATTGGTTAAATCGGTCAAAGCCAACAAAATCTAGACAATTGAACAATTGACTACTACTCCCTCCGTCTCACTTTGATAGTCCTGATTTTTTTTCATACAATTTAAGAAAAGATAGTTAATTTTGTTGGAACAATCAATTTAGGTAACTATTTTTCTAAAATACCCTCACATTAATTAGAATATAACTTTATGGGAACTTCAATTGATGATAAAAAAAAATCAACTCTCATTAAATAGAGTAGGTTTATAGTAACAACAACTTACATTGAATAAGGGTATTTTAGAAAAATTAAGATACAACTACATTTTTTAATTGGAAAATGGACATAATTTGAGACAGACGAAAAAGAAAAACAGAACTATTAAAGTGGGACGGAGGAAGTATTTTATTTCTTGTAGCCTCTTCATAATTCAGTATCGTTTAAATTTTTAACATTAAAATAAATAGAAAAATGTTGAACCCCTAACCTGCTTGGTGAACAGGTTAACCCACGAGCCTGAAGCTCATCAGTTCACATACGGTCTAGTGTTCACAAATATTGTTAACAGGTACGTCTTTAAGTAAATCTTATATATATTGATAATATATATAAATTATTATCCATTCGAGACTAATAATGTATACATTGTCAGCATATAAAAAATTGAATTTATATGAAAAAATGGATGAAAAATGTCTTTTTATATGAAAAAATGGATGAGAAGTTTTAACACATGCGTATCAGCCATTAAATAGAATCTAATTCGTAATAAATTGCCGACCGCATGATTAGTTGAAATTATAGCCATAGATGCGTATCTTCATGGTGACAAATGACAATATAGAGCATTAAAGTGGAGTTCGTTTCCGGTTGACCAATAATTTGCAAAAGGTCTACTGCAGGTACTTAAAATGACGTGATAGGAACATAAAAGGGTAACACATAGCTATAATCGTGGCCAAAAGATTATCAGACAAAGTGATGGTTTTGTTTTTAATGACATGAAAGAGATGCGTGTTCAATTTAGGAACCAAAACTAGGGGTGCAAACGAGCCGAACCGAGTCGAGCTTTGGCCTTATCGAGTCGAGTCTTAATTTAATTTCATCGAACTCGAACTCGAGCTCGAGCTCGACGAGCTGGTAATTTTCAAGCTCGAGCTCGAAAAAAATAAAAAATAATTATTTTATTTTTTAAAAAATAAATAAAATAATATTTTTTCTTAATAAATAATAAAATATTAAGGATATTTATGTAATTTTACTATTAAAAATAAAAATAAAAAAAATAAATATATATATATTCGAGCTCGCGAGCCTAACGAGTTTAATGTTTTGAGTTCGAGCTCGAGCTCGACTCTGGCTCGAGCAGCTCAAGATCGACTCGAGCTCGATATTGATCGAGCTCGAGTCGAGCTCGAATCGAGCGGCTCGCGAGCGGCTCGATTCGTTTGCACCCCTAACCAAAACCATGAGCTGGCGCAGGAAATCTGCATGCCAGCACAGTGATGTGACCAAAAATAAAAGGAAAAATGGTCAATTTTATTTTTTATTGGTACTGATTTAGTTCCTGACTTTTATTTTTGATCAATTTGATATTTAAACTTATTTTGTATTTTCAATTAAGGACTTCTGCAGTGGTACCACTACAAACTAAATAGGATTATTATGGGAGCGTCCCTTTCAAGACTGTAATAAAACAAATAAATCGTGTAAGAGACCATCAGATAAAACTTTTAAATTTTATTAAAAATCACGAAATAAAATTTTTATAAATTTTATCTTGTGATTTTTTTTATATGATTTACTTATTACAACCTTGTGATTAACGTTCCCAAGATACCCCTATTTAGTTGGTCAATTAGGAGTCAAATTGATTTTAAATAATGACGTTGCCACGAAGGTTCTTAATTAGAACGTATCAAATTAGTTAGAAATAAAAGTTATGAACTAAATATTCACTAATAAAAAAGTTTAGTGTTAAAATTGACCATTTATCCAAAATAAAATTACTAATCACCATTATGGTAAGAACAATATATTCAGGGAGTCAAAGGGTACGAAAGGCCGCGGCTCTCCTAAAATTTTAAAGGCTGTTTCATACCCTCTTAAAATATAAAAAGTTTTCACCCGTATTTTTATAAAAATTTAAACTTCCCCAGCCTTTAAAAAAATATATAAGAATGGCCACTTTAGTCATTACTAGTCTTGTCACCTAATGTTAAGTATGTGATGTATTTTGTTCGTTGCATTCATAAATTTTGCTTACTATAGTACCTAAAGTTACATTATGATATAGGACAACGGTTGGAAGCATCTCAAGAGCTTTGATTTTCAAAATCTATACACCTAAAATTTTAACATATAGTGTTCATTTTTCACGAGTTGATATATCTTAAATTTAGGAACAAAGTTAAAATTAACTTGCAAGATTGATTTATATTAGAATACTACCAATGGTTTATACATGTCTACAACTCAGACAGCGTGTATAATCTCAATTTTTTCTCATCATATAACGCCATTATACCTGTGAAATTTATTCTTTTATTGTAAACTTTAAAGGAAAACATGAATAATGGATATATTAATCATTGGAATTAGCTAAATGATTAGGAGAGAACTGTTATAACCTTCTCGGTTGGAAGGTTCGGGATTCAAATCCTACATCTATTAGTTGGGATTGGGAGGGTCATAGAAAAATATTTAAGGGTACGCTAGGTATACGCTGGGCCATACACACGCACAGTGCAATGCATCTCCTAATTTTCGCCAATCCCAAAAAAAAAAAAATATTGTTCCTAATTTATGCAGGTTGACATTGAATAATCACGGTTCTACTTAAATTAGCATCGGTGCTACATCTGTCCATCTATCTCTCTATCGCTCTCTCACACAAATAAAACAAACACAGAGGAGAAAACCATAAGTAACACATTTTACAGTATATTCTCCACAAGTATATCATAACAGGCCTCTGAATATGGAACACTACAACATTACTGGAATTGGTACCGAGGGTTTGCGTGAAAAGCAAGAAGATTTCATGGCAACAGAATTTGTTGAAATGGAAGCAGGAAGACCTCTTATGGGAAGAGTGAAAAATCCCTACTCCAGCTCCCTCTCTTCTCGCCAAATGGAGTCCCTTAAAGCCTTATGCGACACCTATTTGCCCTCAATAGATGGTTTCCACACAAAACATGATGAATCCACGGCTAGATTCTACCAAACTTCAGCCTCCGTGGCCGGAACTCCACAACGTGTAAGAGTTTATCATCTTTTCCGATAATGTATGACATGCTTCATCTTTACAAGCTAAACACTAGGATCGATCCAATGGTCAGGAAGGCATCTTAGATTTAAACTCTTGTACCTGGCAGCTAGGTGTGGAAAGTGTGGGAGGACAAAAAAAAAACTAAAAAAAAAATGCTGCATCTTTGCAAAATTTTCTACATATTAATGGAACGGTTGGGGAAAAAAATTGTTATCCTCGTTTTAAGATTGTTTAAAAAAAAAAACAAAAGAAAGAACGAAACCTTTGGCTGCTGATAATGTTTGATCATAACATGTCACATGCATGGAGATTTATGATCACTGCATTGATATGTGACGTAATTCTTTTCATTTTTAGTTTGTTTTACGTACTTTATATTTTTATTACGATTATTCAAGCACCTAAATAACCTAAAAATAGTAATTACAAAATAAATTTATAATCTTAAGCTGGCAAATACATTAACCATAATTTTCCTAATTGTTTAATCTTGCAATTCCTCTTGTTTAGCTTGGAGGATTGATAAGTGAAAGACTGCAACATCCAAAGCTTTTTATGGCAAGACTAGCACTGTGGTTTCTATCAACAAGTATAGGAACCTTTGCGTTGTGTGGGATTGCAAGTTTGTCAGGCAATTTTCCCTACTTGCAGAAGTTTTCTCAGGTTGCACCAGAAAAAAGAGAACAAATAGTGCTTTCGTGGTCCCGTAGCATCATATTTCCCTTAAGACTTCTCTTCACAGCCTTGAAAGTTCTCATTCTACTAGTATTCTTCAGCCAGGTATGATATCAATTTATCTCTCTATTTTTCTTTTTTTCCTTTCCCCATTTATTGCTTAACTTTATCTGATTCGTTTTTAAGCCTCATCCATTTCTGTTTTCATGAATTTAAAGCACTTAGGACCATATCTCCGTTGGTATAAAATCCAACAATAGGTTGTTAGTTGGTATTGAGACTAGTCTTGCGTTTTTATTCACATGAATATGTGCAATTGTCGCGGACAGAAAATGGTCTATATCAAAGTCTCATTAATTTTCTGTATTTGTTTTATTTGATTTTTCCTTTATGGCAACCCTTCTATAGTTTTTAAATTTGGTCCATATATCATAAATACTTCTGCATAAAGACTTAATTACTACATTGTCGGCCACATAACTTCGTGTTAAAAGCAATGAAAGCAATGGCAAATCAAACAGTTAAATTTGCAAATTTAGAAGGGATACATTGGCTGTAACTAATTTACTTTTTCGTTTAACTAATCAGAAGAAATATGGTTTAGGCCTCAAGACTTACAGGTTTTGGGTTTAAATCCCTATTCCCTTCTTACCGCTTCTTAAATCTCATCCCTCTTCTACTAAAAAATTTTACAAAAATAATTGGAAGAAATATACATATACTAGCATCTCTATACTTAGAGTGCATATGATAAAATTAAAGTCCGAAAACTGAAAAACTAAAATCCGAAATCTGAAGTGTGAATTCATTAAATTATTAAATTGTTAAATACTAAATCTGATACATTTGAATATATATTACATTAAGTGATAAGTGAATAACTTATCATTTATGTTTGGGAGCAAGTTTTACCTAAGGAAGTCAATGCCACTTAATTAATTCAAATGTTCAATTTTGGTTTTTAAACGCATCTGAATATATTAAGATCTGAATCCATTAAATTTAAGTGTTGAAGTGGATTATCAAACAGAGTTAGTTAACATTCAGAGTTTTTTTTAAAAAAGATTTTGCAAGTTTATTTGGATCGGAGTTCTTTTAATCATAGTAACTTTTAATTATTATTCCAAAACATGTGAAAATTTCCTTTCCTTACAAAAAACAAAATCACCCTTTCAATCACCCTCCGCGGGTAGTCCGATTGATTTTATAGTCTGGTAGTTATCAGTAGGTCCCGTGATTGATTCCTGTGTGCTATCTCGCTGTATTTCCTTGGGCAAAGACTCTACACATTCTTAGGAGATTAGTCTAGTTCAAATGTTGAGATACCCCTAAGTGAAAAAAAAAAAAAAAAAACAGAAAACAAAATCATCCTGAGATAGTTGGAGTTTGTCATGTACTATATCGAATTACCAACAAAATTAAAGATTGGCATAGAGACATTAAGGGCCTACCTCCAACGAAATAAAGACTGCTTGACGAAAATTTTTTTCGACTGCTTAACAAACTTAAAAAAGGAATTTAATTCAAGCTAACAAACCTCTTATTAGTTCAAAACTGTCAGTCTACAAGCGTTGTTTAATTCTCTGGATTTAGGCCCCAGTAGTGAAAAACTATTAGGTACATTACATACACCACATGCAATGAACTAGTACTGATAAAAAGGCTATCAAATAGTAAGAAGATAAAGGCAAGAGTTTTATTTTATCAGACAAGATTTAAATATTAATAACGATGACCGCTGCAAATGCCACAACACATGTTTTTAGTTCCACACCTACTTTTACATAAAATATTTAATTGCCCTTCTCAAGTCCAAATTTAATTTAAACTCTGGAGTGACAGTTCTTTCATTTCAACATAAACTTACTGTGAAAATAAAATATGGGCTATAGCATTATCATTTGTCACAAACAATACTCAATATTATAACTTAGTTGCCAAGCTATCATAACAGTCCATACAAAAAAAACCCAAATAAATAAATAAAACATTCTGGCTCATACTTGCTTGGGTCTAGTCTCATTTTGACCGAACTGCATTGCATGTTTGTACCATTATCAAAGATACACGGGATCTTTCATGCAATATAGGTTAAAACACTTTAAGATTTTTCCAACGCCGGGCTTCATTCAAGATTATTTTCCAATCTTCGAACAAATTTTAAAGGGATAAACACTTGCTTCCTAAAGAATTTTTACCTAAATTGTCTCTAACTGAACTAGTGTGTTTAGATAGGAGATTATTTAAAATATTAGATAGAATAATTACCGTAATACTTTTTGAGATGTGATGTATGTGAAATAAAATATATTATTGAAAAGATAAAAAAATGATTGAAAATTATATTTGTGATGTAAGCAAAATATTATTCGGGCCAAATGCTATTTCCTAACAAAATTTTTCGGGAAACTATTATTTCTAACAAAATTCTGAAGACTCAGCTTGGAAGATTGTTTTAGAGGTTTATAGGAAAATGATCTTAATTCTTTAAGGGATAAAATTCATGGAAAAACACCAAAAACAAAGATATTGGGTAGGATATTGGTGACAGAAGTGGGCACTTGAGAGAGGTTGAAAAGGAGGGGAAGAGGGGTATTTTCAAAAAAGTGTTTTGAATAAACACCAATAATTTCTAAAACTAATTAGAGTAAGTTATAATAAAGTTTTCAACAAGCAACTAAAAGACTTACCGTCCAAACGGACTCAAAGATTTATAATTTTACCTTTCAGAAAAATGAAACTACATGGAACTATTCCTAATTTTAGAAAAATGAAACTACATGGAACTATTCCTAATTTTATAACTTAAATACATACACACACACATATATATATAGCGGCCTCCTTCCTCCATTCCTCGACAGCCCCTCCTCCTGCCACGATCCCCACACAGAAGCCATGTCTATTCTTCTGCGTACGCCACCAAACATTAATTACTCCTGTCCTGATTCCATTTCTGAATCTGGATAGGAGTTAATTGACTTGAATCTGTGACATGAATTTGCAGAAAGCCCACAAGATGCCGCTTTCAATTTTAACCTCAAGCAACTTGAGCTTACTTGGACCCCATTAGTTATGACCAACTTGCCTCATCCTGTCTCTATGACACAAGACATCATTGACTGCTCAAGAAATTAGTTTAGAAATTAGTGGAGTCAAAGCATTTCATTTTTCTAATTGTGTTAGGTGAGTTGGCCACTAAAATCATAGCACAAGTTACCATCGTGACTGACACTTGCAGTTCCAAACCTCTAAATCCGCAGCATAATTTAGAGGGCGTGCAGTACTGCATTTCTCTAATCTAGAATGGAGTTCCATTAGCCCAATTGGACTCTCTCCTATCATCGATTAGATAATAGTAGTAGTGTAAATTTTTTTTTTTTAAATGGTAATCCATTTTTCTCCACACTTGGATTCTTTTGAGCCTAGAAAAGACCGAAATGTATAGGAAACTAGTGGAGTATGTTATACCAAAGAGTTAATTGAAATTGCAAAGGAAATATTACATATTAAAGGTCATTAGACAAAATAATTCAGCTTGCATGCACGGTCAATTTTGAAGAGTTACTACTATGAGAAGATTTAAATTTTTGGAAAAAATGCACTTTTGATCCCCATTGTTTGGGTGTTGAACAATTTCATCCCTAAAGTTTCATGCAAGCACATGTCATCCTCATAGTTCCATAAATTTGACTAATTAAGCACAATTAATGGATTGTCAAACAATTTGAATCATATACCATCACTTGACTATAGCATAGCTATTAGCAAAATACAAAAAACATTGGATCAACAAAAAAAGCAAAAATTATTGTTTAATTCACTTTCTTATTTAAAAAAACTTAGAAATTTTCAACCACCATTAATTTTGTCTTAATCACAAATTGAACAAAAAGATTGATAGCAAACAAAGTCAGGGAGAAGAAACAACCAATTGGAAAAACTTTTCAAACAATCTCATTGCAACCAATTGGAGAAAAATATTAACGTGACAGCAAGAATTGTTTAGATTGTTATTTATTTACAAAATTTTATTCTGTTGCATCATAAACATGTTTTTCAAATTTTCTATCTATCATCTAATCTAGTTTTTTGGTTTCACATACATTATATCATAATTTTTTTTTTTAAAAAAAACTCTTATCTAAACACGCTTATTATTATTTATGTAGTTTAATCAATGACTGAATTAAATAAGGGGCGAGGGTTGGGTTGGGTGGTACGGGGGGAGGGAGTGTAAGTGAGAGATTTTGGGTTCGAGTCCTCCTGCTTATATTAAAAAAAATGACTGAATTAAATATTAACAATACAATTATTAACATGACCATGCTAGTCATGTGATGATATTCGGTCCAAATTGGTTATCAATCATTCAATTGTCCTCAATTGTTCAAATTTATGAAACTATGAGAATAAAATATATTTGCATGAAACTTTAAGGTTGAAATTGATCGAAATTACAAAACTACAATGATGAAATGTATTTTGACTGAAACTTTAGGAACACAATTGTCCAAAACCCCAAACATTGGGGATGAAAAATGCATTTTTCTTTAAATTTTTTTCCTGTATTTTGTTCATAAGATGCCACATATGATCGTTTGTCAAAGATTTAACTATGCCTCTAAAGAATCATTGATAATTTAAAATTTTTTATGGTTACCTTATTAATGTATCTACGGCTACAAACGGAATTGGAAGTTGGGTATTAGGAAAAATAAAATTATCCACAATGAAGTTACTACTCGTTATGTTCATATTAACACAAGGAAAATACATCTGTTAGTTCTAAACCGACATGAAATTGATTGAAAGATACAACTACGTGAACTTAAACTTTTTTGTAGTGTAAAACAAAAATTCAAAATGAATGAGTAATCAGCTACACAAGTATGAATCAAGTGGGCACAACAAACTTTCATATCTTGATAAAAAATAGAATCATTTCAATTATCCATTGACATTGCCGAAATTCTTTCATGTTAAATTCCATTATTTACCAAACGAAAAAAAAAAAAGAAAACTGCTGCTTTTTGGTTTTCTTTTTTCTTTTTTTCTTTTAATTTTTCTGAATTGAACAAAAACACAATCAAATTAACGAGTAC